AACATAGGTCGTCCATTTTGGTGAGATGCCTAGATCTAAGCTTTAGAATGATATTTTTCCTTTCCAAATTTTTTAGATAATTTTATTGTTATTAAATTAACAATGTTAAAAAAAAAAAAATTGATTTTAAATTCTCAAAAGCTTAGATCTTGAAATTCATCAAATGGACAGTTTATATTCATTATTGGAGGGGACACATTTTGACCATATATTGGATCCAAATTAAATTAATTTTTTTTTTTTAATATTGATTATTGAGATGAAGATAGTGGGTATACAAAATTTTGGATCGTACAAACACCTCAAACATGATTTTCTAGAAGTGTGGTTTCATTATATTTAGTGAAACCACACTTCTAATCCCCATGTTTTGGTTTTCATTCTCACCGTTAACACCATCCAACTAATACTTTAAAAAGATAACTCCTAAGTGTACTTTTAATATATATATAAAAAAAAGAAAAAGTTCATATAGAGCTGAGGTCCTAAGTCACTAGAAGTTGTTTTGATGCCCACATATATTCAAATTGATCATTTCGACATCAAGATGCATGGATATAGAAAAAAATGGATTTCAAGTTTTAGAAATAGTGCATCTTGATGTATTTTTTTACCGTTAATTTTCGAGATCTTTTAAGTTTTCGTAGATCTGCTTGATCTACATTACTTTTGAAGATTTAAATTTTATAATTAGAGATGAAAATATATTTTAAGGCTATCACAAAGATTTTCAGTATTGAAACCACATTTCTTGATACTATTTGAAAGTGGGATCTATTTTAATTGTTTAGAACCTCGACTTTATACAAACTGCACCCAAAAAAAAACGCCACTTTTATTTTTAAAATAAAGGAAAATTGTTTTATACAGCTGGACTGCATTTCTACAATATGCGATCCAAATGTATAAAGCATCCACCTAGAAACAATCGTAACTAACGGCCCAAATGTTTACTTAATATAATCATTATTTCTAGTTTAAAAAAAAAAAAATTTCATGATATCCATGTTAGAGATTATATATTCTCTAAAAATTAGGATCAAGTTGTATTTAAAAAATATATTTAGTCCTAAGCCCCAATGTAGAAATGCGGGCTCACCGCATAGAAACCGTGTCCTTAAAGAAATGGAAAAGTTTTTTATATTCCCCCTACAACATAAAAGTTCTATGTTCCCTTTATCCAACAGTCTATTTTTTAATGGAGGGCTAAGATTGTCCCGATCACAATGTGACATCTCTACATTGTTTTATTTTTAATATTTTTTTTATAAACGTTTTTGACACCAAATTTTGGATGTCCATTCCTATATTAAACTCGCACTAACAAAAAAAAAAAAAATTATTTTCAATAAAAATAAAATGACCAAAATACCCCTAAAATTTCAAGGGGTATTTTGAACATTAGTTTTTATCGAAAAGTTAATATATTTAATAGATGGACCCCAATGAGAAGATGGCATGTATCAAATTTCATATTCAAAAAAATTGTATTAAAAAAACTAAAAATAAAATACTTTGAGACGCCGAATCTAGGATCAAACGATAAATGGCTATCTTGACAAAAAGTAGATGGCTGGATGGTAGGGGAATATAGAACTTTTATGTTGTATAGGGAACATAGAAAGCTTTCCCTATAGAAATTCCACATTCATTTCTCAAATTTCATATCATATCTACGTCTTTTTTTGGAAATGTCATTTTAAGCTTTCCCTATAGAAATTCCACATTCATTTTCACATTAACAAACTCCCAAATGTCATATGTACGTCTTTTTTTTTGGTGTCCATATTAATTTTCACATTAACAAACTCCCAAATGTCATATGTTCATTCACATTAACAAACTCCCAAATGTCATATGTACGTCTTTTTATGGAAATGTCATATCCACGTCTATTTTTTCTCACATTAACAAACTCCCAAATGTCATATGTACGTCTTTTTATGGAAATATCATATCTACGTCTATTTTTTCTCACATTAACAATTTTCATATTAACAAACTCCCAAATGTCGTCTTTTTATGGAAATGTCACTATTTTTTCTCACATTAACAAACTTCTTTCACATTAACAAACTCCCAAATGTTATTTTTGCTCACATTAACAAACTTTTTTTTATGGAAATGTCAATTTTTTCTCACATTGAGAAACTCCCAAATGTCGTCTTTTTATGGAAAGGTCATATCTACGTCTATTTTTTCGAGGGAGGGGAGGGATCAATAGCTACTACGTCTATTATATTTTCGAGGGGAGGAATAAATAGCCACAAACGAAGTGGGTACGAATGAATTTGAGATCGTAGGTCATGATCTTCTAGATGGACATTTGAATTTAAAATTTTAGGGCTTTGATCTTTTCGAGGGAACCCTGACGAACCTTTTATCGGGGTTGATTTCTTTTTGATGGGACCCTGATGGACATTTGAATTTCGAATTGTACGGATTGCCCTTTCTCAGGGCAATTCTCGAAGGCCAGGGCTGAACCCAGGCCTAAGAGGGGGTTTGGAAGTAGTTTTCAACCAGCAATTGACGCGCCTCGGGTTTACCCACAAGCTGCATCATTGCCCCAATCGCAAAGACAACAATCTTTAGTTTGATGTCTCTGTTTTTATAGAAACGCACTCACCCTATTCTCTTTCCTCTCATCGATATGGGACCAACTCCACTGACTGGCAATGCTCTGAAACTGAAAGATTAATAATTCCTTCTAGATACCAATGCTCTAAAAGTTAAAACTGAAGATTTATAATTCCTTCTTCATTCCAATGCTCTAAAACTGAAGGTTTATAATTCCTTCTCTATTCCAATCGCCACACGAGCTTCTAAACCCAGCAGAAAATCATATTTTCATGAATGGGTCTTCTACCAGGCTCAAACTCCTCAAGACCCACCTAAAAAATGCCTCCTTTTTTATGTCCTAGACTTATCGTTTCTCCACTCAAGTTTCACAATCTTTTGAAACTCGGCCCTCTCAACAAAACCCATCACTCACTTCATTGCAATGTGGTTGTCTCCTTCAGTCCTTCACTAACTCCATATCCTCCATGAAAGGTAAGCAGCTCCACTCTTACATGATAACCAATGGCCTTCTCTTAGATAACACCTATTTATGTACCAGGCTTGCTGCCATGTATGCATTGTGTGGAGACATGGATGATGCCCATCTCGTATTTGATAGAATTGTTCTGAAAAGCTTGTTGGTATGGAATATTATGATAAGAGGTTATGCCGCGATTCGGTTGTTTGTTATGTATGGTGAAATGCTTTATTTCGGTCGAAAACCGATAATTTTACCTTCCCTTTTGTTTTGAAGGCATGTGGTCATCTAAACTTGCTTAAAAAGGGTAGAGAGATTCATGGCCACATAGTCGTTCATGAGTTTGAATCAGATTTATTTGTGGGTAATTCCCTTTTGTCCATGTATGTGAAATGCAGAGACATGGAGAGTGCATCTCAAATGTTTCATAAAATGCCTAATAGGGACATGACTTCTTGGAATACCATGCGCATGGGTCATGCTCAAAATGGTAAACCAGTTGGTTTTTGATCGCATGGTGAAGTCTGGTTTCAGGGCTGACTCGATCAGTCTTTTAGCGATTTTACCTGCTTGTGCATGCTTGGGAGCTTTGAAAGGAGGGAAGATTGTGCATGGTTGCATGATAAGAAACAATTTTGGGTCCAATGTTTCAGTTATGAATTCACTTATTGACATGTATTGTAAGTGTAATAGTATGAGAGTTGCAAGGCAACTCTTTGATGGTATGGTGGATAGAGGTGTTGTCTCTTGGAATGTCATGATTTCAGGCTATGCCCAATGGGGATGAAGTTGAAAGCCTGAGACTCTTCCATTGGATTCGCAATGAGGAAAGGGTACAGCCTGATATAGTGCCTGGGGTTACAGTACTTGGGGCTTGTGGGCGACTAGCTGCCCTTGAGTGTGGAAGATGCATTCGTAGCTATCTTATTAGAATTGGGTTTACTTCAGATGTGATTGTAGGTACCGCTCTTGTTGACTTCTATGCAAAATGTGGGAGCTTGGAGGGTGCCCAACTTGTTTTTAGTGAGATCCCTGAGAAAAATCTTGTTTCTTGGAGTGCAATGCTTGCAGGATATGGGCTCCATGGAAGAGGAAGGGATTCAATTTCTCTTTTCAATCGAATGCTATGATTTGGATTGAAACCAGACTGGGTGACTTTCACTTCGGTCCTATCAGCATGTGCTCACTCGGGCTTGGTGGAAAAAGGTAAGAGGTTATTTGATCGTATGCTCCATGAGTTTTCTATAGAACCTCGGATTGAGCACTGTGTTTGCATGGTTGATCTTTTTGGCCGTGCTGGACACTTAGATGAGGCATATGATTTTATCAAGAACATGAAAATTAGGCCTAATTCAGATGTTTGGGCTGCTCTTTTAGCTGCCTGTCGAGTTCATAAAAATTTTGAATTAGTGGATATGATTGCAGATCATATGCTGCACTTAAAACCTGATGGTGTTAGTGTATATGTCATGTTGTCAAATATTTATGCTTCAAATGGGAGATGGAGATATTGCAATGGTAAGATCCATGATGAGAGAGAACGGATTGAAGAAACCTCCGGGGTGCAGCTTCGTGGAATTGGGTCAAAAGATTTATCACTTTATGGTGGGAGAGACATCCCACCCTCAATCCGAGGAAATATATGCTAAGTTGAGGGAGTTGAGGCAAACACTGAAGGAAGCTGGATATATCCCAGATACGAGTTATGTGATTTATGATGTGGGAGAAGAAGTAAAACTAAAGTTGCTTGAGACTCACAGTGAAAAGCTGGCAATTGCTTTTGTTCTTATCAATACAAGCCAACAAACCCCTGTCAGGATTACTAAGAACCTTCGGGTTTGTGGTGACTGCCACACTGTAACTAAGCTCATCTCCAATATTGTCAATCGAGACATCATTGTGAGGGATGCCCATCGTTGTCACCACTTCCGCAATGGTTCTTGCACATGTGGTGATTTTTGGTGATTTTTTAGATTTTATTACCAGCAAGACTGTCATGAGGGTGGTTAAGTTTGCACATATTGTCATCTGGTATCGTGATATTAATTTTTCATTGTTACACTCCAATCTGACTCTTACTTTTCTTACTTTTTTCATCTTTGTTTCATTTAATCTGGTGGTCTTTCATCCTTTATTTGCTACCTTTGTGCTTTATACATATCTCTGTGCAGTTGTCTGAACATGAGCTTTCCTTTCCATTAATTTGCCTTGTACTTCACTAGATAAACTACTTGTAGGGGTTCTGCCAAATCCGGAGTCACACTTATCTTCTTAAATATATGTAACGAATCCAAATTCCTTAAACTAGAATTGAGACACTCAAGTTGAAGTGTCTCATAGAGTTTCTTGTTGCTCTCAAGGATATCTCTTTAGAAACATGGCTTTGGCGTGTGTTATTAGTAATTGGATTCGCCGCAACTGCTTTAATTAAGAAAGCTCTTGCAGTTTTACATTTCTCACCATGAAGGCATTCATCATAGGACTTGGTTGCAGTACACAATGATATCAGTGTCTATCCAATTTACATTTTTTTTTTTCTACATCTTTGTGGTACTGGGTACATGTCAAGAGACTGATGTCTACGCTCTGCTTTTTCTACTTGCCCCATGAAAGTATTGATGCGATTGATTTTATTATTTGATCTACCAGAGAGGTTTCCTCAATAACGTCTGCATCAGTAATACCTTCATTATCTCCAGCATCAAACTTGAATGGTTCCAGCAATGGTTCTGATGCATCCAGTATCTCCTCAATTGACATTTTTGGTTTTGAATGTTTCAATGGCACTCTTGGGTTGAAGTATTTTTCTGGATCTGGGTTATAATCCTGGCAAAAGAATGTGAAGAAATCAGCATAATTTCAGTGAGGAAGAGATCTGGAAATTTTTATTTCACAATGTTCGACAAAAGAAATCTTTCTTGAGTGAGATGGCTTACCAGACCAGCATGCATTTTCTTGACAAATGCTTTGAATAACTTGAAGTTTTCTGCTTTCAAGAGTTCGTCTGATAGCCGTAGGTATGTCATTGCTGAGATCCTCAGTTTTGAAGGGGGAGTTGTGATGCCATTTGCCCTTGCGTTATGTATTATCTGATTATATCCGGTCCTGTAATATCGGGAAAGGGCATTCTCACATGAAACTTCAACACCTTCTCTCCACGCCGCACTTAAAACCTGTAAATAAAATATTTCTCAATGCCACATGATTCATTACAAAGTCCACATTTACCAGAACAGGATGTTGGCGAGATTATCACTAGAGAGGGTGCTTTCCGAGCTCATATATACAGAAAAGTATCTAGAATTTACAATTTGGTACAAATCTTTTTGGTTGAATTTTATGTAGATTTGGATGTGAGGAGTTATTAGGAAAGACCCAATTCAACTTTTAGTGAATTTGGCCATACTCGACTTATATTGTTTGACCAATGGATGATGGCCCTTTTGCTAATTTCTATCCAAAGTCAAATTCCGCTGACACTTGTCAAAATTTTTAAAATATTATAATTATAGCCCATCAAGCTGGATACAGTTGATGAAGGTAGGATTATGTGCTATTAACAAAAATAAATTTTCACCTGTTGTACAAGTCTCTCTGGGCCAGATTTTGCTTCTGCAGGCTGCTCAGAGTCTCGCATCTCAATACATGTGAAATTGAGGGAACCATAATGCCGGGAAAGCATCCTTGCAATGGGCCGGTATCCGTTCAAGTTGTAGTAGCCTGCAGTGACCTCTGCGGCATGGCTCTCTGTCTTGTACCACCAATGCATCCCTGATACCTGCGTATATGAGTTCTGCTTATTAATTTTTCTCCTTGACACAGATTGCTTTCATAATAAGGAAAAAAAAACACTGAAAATTACAAAACCGAGCTAGAAAACATGGTGTAATGAATTTATGTTTTGAACTCTAGTTGGATAATTAAATATACAAAATCTTATGGAGTTGCTGAGCTCCTTTTCGAGTTCTTTGGTTTACTTACCTTAGCTGCAAGATTGACTTTATATCCTTGGAATATTTCATTGGCTGCATCTAGAATTCCAGCGCCATGTTCCAAGAGCGCATTGGAGTACCATGTGAGGAAGAACTTTCCTGCCTCAGTCTGGAAACGTCCATTGTCACAGAAAAACTTGGTCTTGTCGGGGGTGTCATTGTATGTCCCTGCATCCTTTGGTTCTGATGCCCATTCTGGGTGTCCTCCTTTTTCTGCAGCTGCTTTTAAATGTGCCTGAAGATATTTGTCGTAGCACTGCAGTATTTTCATTGCAAGTGCATGAATTACGGCCATTGGGGCATCGGTGTGTATTTTGTGTGTTGGGCATCATTTATTAGAAAAGAAATAATATGAATTATTGTTACATGGTTTACTAAATTATGGCATTAACTTCAGGAGGACATTCATAATCATGGGTAGAGTTCAAACATTTATATTTTCTAGCTAAACCATAAACTCTGGTCTTTTCGTTGCTTCATCTTTCCATTGTTTCCAGAAATGAGTTCCTAATATGTTACTATACCCAATGTCTGCATGTCACTAGCCTCCAAACATTTTTAGAGACAGTGAAAGGATCTCAAAACTTTATTTAAAGGGATTTATGTATATAAAAGGAGAAATGCCTTGTGATTTCAGTAATGATTTTTCATGTTTTATATCCATAAAATTAGTATGTTGTGTTTTGTTTTCCTTTTTCTTCTAGATCAATATAAGACAAATACTTTTTATTTTTTGTTATTGGATATTCCTTAACCATATAATTTTCCTTCCTAATTTTTCTTATCTTTTTCCTCCTTACCTTTTATTCTTCAAATTCGAGTTCTCAATAATTTCTTAAAAGTCTTTTATGCAAAACATAGGGAAGTGCCATGCGTACCTGGAATTCTCCAATTCCTGGGAATAACCAGCCTTGACTAGCGGGGTATGATGGATATCTTAACTTCCCACACGGACCAAGGCCGACCTCTATCTCACTTATAAGGTCTGACTCCAAAATATCAGACAGGTTATCTTTGAAGCTCTTCATGTAATCGATATAAACCTGCCATTTGAAATCTTAGTTAATCAATTGAAATCTGAAATTATTGGCTGATAGATATCATATGAAGAAGCCCTATTTTGCTCTATCTTTCTTGTTGTATGTGTTTTAACTTATTTTGCTCTATCTTTCTTGTCGTATGTGTTTTAACTGTTTGAATGGCTATTCTGCATCTTTCAAACTTCACCCTCAAAACTTTAACCAAAACAAAATGATGGACACGATAAAAAAGGTACGTGAAGGTAGTTACCTCTTTAGCTGTACGCCCAGCAATTATGGGGATATTGTCTATTCCAAAAGACAGGTATTCTTTGTCCTTATTACCTTATTTGTTTGTAAAGAATATATCTGGATTTGATTTACCAATATCAATAACCAATTGGGGGATGGTTATAGTTATGGTGTCCCCAATATTGCCTCCTCATTGATGAAATGACATGATGGGTTGCTGCTTAAATCCATATTCCTGGATCAATTTAAACAAGCTCCTGTATGCTGACCAATCATATTTTTCGGTCCTTCTCCACCAGTCCCCACGACACATCTAGCATTAGTCCATCTACACCTGCAGCTTTGAGCTCTGCAAGTTGTTTGCTGAGATTTCTCTCATTGTAAAATTATTGTTTGTTGATATCACATCTAACTGAAATACAGAGAAGATAGTATAAGTATATGTAACTTGTAAGTAGTCTATATTTGCTCTTGCATTGTTAGTTGCAAGCATGAATAACTTACTGGAAGCATGACAAAGACACGGACATAGTTTGCCAGCAGCTGTTCTTCCTTTGTCCTGGGTTCAACCTGTGCTTACATCAATTAATTTCATGTATTATCAATCTTAAAATATGTAAAGGATTCATTGATGCAAATACAGATCTCTAGAATCATTCATCTACATCGGATGCTGGATTTCTTGAAAAGTATTAACTTCTGCACAATACATTTTTTTGATAGTAGAATAGCATTGTCCATGCAGTTGAATGAGACAATACTGGTTTTTCTAAATGAACCATGGAACACTTAGGTTTCAATGCTGGTTTACCTTGAATTTTTTTTTTTTGTTTATTGATTTTTCCATCTGAATATCCAAATCGCAAACCACCCCCACCCTAAAGAGGGGAAAAGCAAAATAAAATAAAGAGGCTGGGAAGCCCAGCCACCCAATTATACAATGGTGGAGTGGAGCAGGGGTATTTTTCTAATTTTGTGGAAAGGAATATTTTAGCTGTGTGCTAATTTATTTAGAGTCCAAATGGTGGACAAGATAAAACTTACATGTACTTCTACTGTTGTATAGCAATTTAAGTTGATTCTGGATTGTACACTGTAAGAATTGCCTTGGCATTGACAAATTGTAATTCGTAGTATATTGGGGGAAAGTGGAAAGCCTTTCTACTTAAAAGTAACATTTTGAGAAAATAGAAATGCCTTTATAGTTAGCAACATGTCTGTGCTGAATTTCGAAACAAAGGGATTGTTATCCCTCTCTTTCCGTCATTCTCAGTTTTCCATTTTCGTTTTCCCTCTCTTTCAGTGATTCTCAGTTTTCCATTTTCGTTTTCCCTCCCTTTCAGTCATTCTCAGTTTATTCTACTTATTATCTTTGATACTAAGCTCAGTTAGTCTCTTGTTATCTGAGTTCACAAGATCCACTTTAACCTCTGTTTCTCATGGTTCAAAGTTACCTGCAAGGTAGGAGTGAGAGTTGGAGCAGCAGAAGCCTTGACGCTAGCCCCTCTGGAAGGGTTCAAGAGGAGGCCCAATTGAGCATTTCTTCCGAGGATTGAAGCATTCCTTAATGCAGCTCCAGGTGAACTCAGATGCTGCTGGAGATTTTGCTTGAAGCTTCCTGTTTTTTCTGCCGTTTTTGCTTTAGAAACATTCCTTGATCTCACAACTCGATTTCCTAAAGGATGAGCTTTCAGAGTTTGGCTCTTGCTTTGGTGCGTACCCAATGCCCCTGGCCTCTCATGGAAACCAGTTCTATGGATGATGTTTCCTGATGCATGAATTTCGGTGCCCAGGAAACTTGCCATCAAAGTGTCCTAAATGTGGGCAATAATTTAATATTGGAAAGTTTTGGATTCTGGGAAGCAAGTAAGAATTCACACTTGAATAAATGAGTTACATGCTAGTATATATAGGGAGTGTGTGTTGGAGGAAGAGAGGGAACGGGTGGTTTTCGTTCCTCATCCTTGAGAAAACTCTGCACGTATTTGGCACATTTCAGATCATTGCTTCCACATTTGGTTTGTATTTTTGTGTATAATACTATAATTTCAATTTGGTCTTCAGCTACTTGTATCAGCAGGGAGAGATTTCAATGCTCTTCTCTTATCTCTTGCATAGAGTTGAGGGAACCGGTTAAGGCTTTGTATTGTAGGAAAAATTTGCTTTTGTATTTCTGGTTCATATAACAGGATGTAAAACTTTGGACCTTACTGATTTGTCCAGATTTTCCCAAAAAAAAATAAAATAAATAATAATCTGTGTAAGTTCTAGACGATTCACAGGAAAAGCAAAATCTCAATCAAGTGGCTGGTAGTAGATTTCACTGTTAGGGCACTGTGGTTTTCTCTCTCTCTCTCTCTCTCTCTCTCTCTCTTAAATACGTACCCGGGTCTTTTTATTTGAAGTTGATATCTATTTTCAGCCGTTGGTTTTGAATGAAGCTTCATTCATGAACCGTGGCCTCTAATTTTGTAGCTTAGCTCTGATTGGTCAATTTTGTGCTGTCTGATATTGTGAAATGTAGTTTGAAAGCTACACCACCAAGTACAAGAAAAAAAAAGGAAATACATCACCAAGTACAAGGAAAAAAATAAAATGAGCTAAAGCAGTTGGTATTGTAAATGGGGGAAGCTTTGTATGCTTCCCTACCGCATAAAACTTATATATTTCCCTTTATCCAATCTTCTATTTTGAATGGAGGGTTAAGATTGCCCTAATCACAATGTCACGTCAGGTGGCATGCCCAGATTTCAAGGGACACACGTGTAACGCGTGTTGACAGTTGGAGCGAGGCATTAATATGCCGTGGTTGTGGAAAGACGATAACCCTCGGTTGATTGTGAGGCGGCGATTCCCACCTAGTAGTAGACGGCAATAGTCCTGCCCTTGTCTACGAGACAGAGATAGTGTTTGAGTGGGCAGACAGCGGTAATCCTACCCTGGTGAGCGCAGTTTTTCGTGGTCGCCTAGCGTCCTTTGCTTTTGTTCTAATGGTTGAGTCTTCAGGGGCCATTCCAGACGTGAAGAACCTCCTGCGGGAAGGGGAGCTTGGTATCGAAGCATTCATTGACAAGAGCTTGATGAGAGGTGAGCCAATATGGCTCACTGAAGCCTTGTGTGAACCAAGGTGTCCTTTGAGTGTCACCTTTGTGTCCGCCTCCATCCAGTTGGTGATGAGGGAAGATAATGATGGAAATGTGAATATAACGGAGGGTGTAGGCCTTCTACATTGCTTGCACCGCAACATAGTCTCTAATGTGAGCTTGTCGACTCTAGGCAAGTGGATGGTGGAAACCTCAGGTGTGAATTGGTCTTCTTCCGGTCTGTAGGTACAAGGGGAACACCAGTACTTAAAGGGGTACTCCTCATGGACCATGAAAGTGCTGCTGAGTTTCCGGTATACTTTGAGACAGGCTTCCTTGGCGGCTACCCTCCAGTGTTGGGTGGGCTACTACGACCATTGTTCCAACACGGTCAAAGAGACGGCAATGAGCAGTGCCGTCTGTAGGCCTCACGAAAGAGATAGAACAGAGGGAGAAAGAGACGCACGACTGGAACTGCCATTATCATGCGCGACCTATGAGGTTACTAGGGAGGCATGCACGGCACTGCCATTGCCGTACATAGCCTCTAAGGAGAGCTTAGATGAGGAAGAAGAAGAAGAAAGAGAAGAAGAGAGAAAAGAGGAGAGAGAAAAGAAAAGAAAAAGAAGAGAGAGAAGGTTTACCTCCAACCTAGGGGTACCGGTCAAAAGTTTCTCTCACCTCACTCTCTCTCAAGTGTGACACAACAGTGGGAGGAAATAGAAACTATATTCAGTAAAAACTCTCTCTTTTGCAAGGAGATGGATCTTGTGTGTGTGTCTTTTTTCTACGTACTATGTTCGTACGTATATATAGAATTTGCCTCAAACATGGGTGGATGATCAAACTAACCCTAATTGCTGGAAATTAAGATTAAATTGAATTAAAATAAATTAGAAAATATGGTACAAAATGATAGATTTACCCCTTCCTAACAATTCTTGGAATTTCAGAACAGTCCCTGTGTTGCCCTAGAACTTGCATGATCTTGCACGAATAATCCGGGGTTGTTTTGATGCCTGGTTGATCGTAAGATGATTTTTTTCTTGTAGGGCTCGGCATGTTAATCGATTTGAAACGAACTTCGAGCCATGGATCGTGTTTTTAGTGCATGATTATGTGACTTGAAATTTGAGTGGATCTTAAAACTTAAGGTCGATAGTATACTCGTTCCTTGATGTTTTTCGGTAATTTCTTCGGTGAACTACACTGAGCATGCCGTTACGATCACGGGGCAGAAAATGCAGCTCGATTCTGTGCTTGAAGGAAGATTTCGTAACTTTGGAATTTTGGTCGAAATCTGGAATTTCGACGACAGAATTTACAGTTTCTTCTTTGGCTTCGTGTACGGGGTTTGGGTCACTGATAGCCCGGGACCTTATGCCTGCAATGGAATTGGTCTCGCGTAGATCGGGCTCGCGAGCTTCGTGATCCGGCCGCTTGAGCAAGACATGATGCTGCTGAATTTCCTACACTTTCTTCATGGATCAATAACTTTTCTCTAGCTTTTTTTCATGCTCGGTTGTTGTCATGGGGCGTTCCATATATCGAATCGCTTCTCTTGCGTAGACGAACATGATCATCAAATTTGAGCACATCCTACTTAGGACGGGTGAGATATGAGTGTCGAAAGTCACTAGTTGTGACTATCCCTTCCATGGCGTGGAGTTGTAGGGTGGCGGCACGGGAATCGTGTGCAGCCCCTCTTGTTTCAATCTTTTACGAATAACTTCTTCTTGGAGTGTTCGTTCGAGCTGAAATTTGACCCCTATGGGTTTTCAACTGTGTTGGTTTCAATGGTGGTGGTCCCACAACAAATTGGGACACTGAAAGTGTAGCTCTAGCTATAGGGTCCGTTTCAGGGTGCTAGAGGCCGAAGCCATGAGTAAGAGAGTTCCGTGCAAGAACAGAAATTCACGCACGGTGAAGACCTTAGAAAGGCACCGTGGGAAAAAATGGATGAAAAGGATGGACATGATCGCAAGGTCATGGGAAAAGAGCCTAGAAATAACAACAGTTAGTTAAAACCGTCTTCACGGTGCCACTTCCCCTGCTCAAGTAAAAACCCATAAAAGGGTGCTTAGACCGACAAAGCAGGTTGACGCACTTCCACAGCCTCAGCCAACACCCCGGTTTCATGGCTTATCAGGGAGTGAGAGCCTCATAAGATCTCTTCGGTTTCATGGCTCATGAGGGAGTGAGAGCCTCATAAGATCTCCCCTGTTTCATGGCTCATTACGGAGTGAGAGCCTCATAAGATCTCCCTGATTTCATGGCTCATCAGGGATTGAGAGCCTCATAAGATCTCCCTAGTTTCATGGCTCATTAGGGAGTGAGAGCCACATAAGATCTCCCCTATTTCATGGCTCATCAGGGAGTGAGAGCCTCATAAGATCTCCCCGATTTCATGGCTCATCAGGGAGTGAGAGCCACATAAGATCTCCCCGATTTCATGGCTCATCAAGGAGTGAGAGCCACGTAAGATCTCCCCGGTTTCATGGCTCATCAGTGAGTGAGAGCCGCATAAAATCTCCACAGTTCAACAACAACAAGTGTCCTTGAGGGTGAAAACGATGACCAAAAGATCCCTCCGGAAATGTTAAGAGCCATCGCGAAAATAAGAAACTGATGAAAGGGTCTAACCTATCACAAGCTTCAGGGTAGTCTTCGCCAAACCCCCTAGCCTACATGGGACCAGACTTTCGAGTTAGATCAGAAGCCCCCGACTGGACCCTCCTAGACGGGACCTACAGGAGATACCTTGAGCATCAAAAGAAAAGTGGGTGTAGCAGCAAAAAACACCGAGTGAAGGTTCGTAGCATTTGGCCTTAAAAAAAAGGCTTGGTTTTGTACGAGGAGGTCTTGACAAAGGCCTCATGCTTCTAAACCATATATAGTCTCTTGAGGGTGCAGACTCTACCAAGATCCCTCAAACTTCCCACATGAATGCATTTCTCGATTCTCTTGAAGCACAACATTCGGCTGGGCATGCTGTTGGAAGGTATTTTTCATCAATATGGGGCCCTCGCTCAATAAAGGCCTAGCAAGTAATGGAAATTCAGATAGTCTCAGAACAGCCTTAGAACTTGCCCAGATCTTCATGAGGTCTCTCAAGGGTCTCCTGCCAAGTTTCTTCACTTTTGACATGTCTAAGGCAGTGTAGACTGAGAAATAGTTCCAGCAGAATCGACCTCTAGCACCCTAAAACGGATCCCTATAACTAGAACTACAATTTCAGCATCTCAAATTGCTGTGGGACTACCACCATTGGATCCGACACAGTTGAAAACCTCCAAAGGTCAAGTTTCAGCTCAAACGGACATTTCAGGAAGACGTTATAGGCGAAAGAGTGATACATGAGAAGCCACATGCTATTCCCATGCGGCCACCTTGCAACACTACACCATTGAAGGGAATTCATGACCAGTGACTTTTGATGCTCATATCTCACTCGT